CTCGGAGTCAGCCAACTATGAACTAAAACTTCTAAAAACTGTAAGCTAAATAAATCCTTCCTCCTTTAACTTTGGACATTGGGTATTTTGTCTCAATAACAATAAAAAGTAACTGAGACATAAAGAAACTAAAATCTTCTCTGTCTTTGCATGCTGTTGTTGTTGCTGTTGTTACCAGAGTACCCTAGTTCCATTTTACAATAAATCCCATTTGACTCTTGACTCCAAGGTGATAATGTGTCATCAGAATTTTGAAGTGACCTTTATAAAAATGAATAAATAAAAGTAAACAAAGGAGATAAAATATACTAACCTTTTGGAGAAAAATCTAAATATGATATCTACCCTCAGGTATTTATTGACACAGAATAATGGGATTATGAATGACCTATTGAATTCCATTCAAGCTACAAAAGTCTTTTGAAAAACAGGAAAAGCCCAACACAAGGGAGTGCATTTGAACTAAACTAGAGAACCTAAGCAACAGTGGGGATTTTAGGGGTCATTTGGCCCAAGGACGCCCAAGCGCACGTGCGCGCGCGCGCGCACACACACACACACACACACACACACACATTCATGACTACCTATAACATTTTCATCAGCCTGCTGACACATGAGAAAAATTGGCGCCAATTTATTTCTCTCAAGAAATACTTTCCTCAGTGAAAGACTGTGTTCTTTGTACATTTTGTATACTTTGCTGTTAAAATATAATCTTAATAATGATATGATAGTAATGGTACATGGCCTTACATGACAACATTTAAAGTTGGCATCATCATGTTAGATCCCTAAAATTTTGGGAGATATTTTTAGAGAACTTCTACTAATCTTTGGGATCCAAATTTTGGGTAATCGTTTTTTGTTTTGAGGTTTTTTTTTCGGTACCAGCAGTCAAATTCAGGGCCTTGTACTGGCCAGGCAAGCACTGTGCCACTGAGCTACATGTTGGCCCCAGGCTAGTTTTCTCCAGACCTGGCTGTACCTAAATATTATTAGGGATCTTGATTAACTGTGTACTCTTTTGTCCTACCTCCAGATATTCTGATTCAAGGGTGGAGTGGGACTCAAGAGTGGGTATTTAAACTGGGTGTGGTGGCACATAACTATTATCCTAGCACATTCTCAGAGGCTAAGGCAGAATGATCTCAAGTTCAGGACCACCATTTAACAATTTAGGGGGATCCTGTTTCAAAATAAAAAATAAAAATAAAATAGGCTGGAGAATGTAACCCAGTGTGAAAGCCTTAGGTTCAACCTGAAGTACTGCAAAAACAAGAGTTAATACTTTTATACAACTTTCTAAGTGATTCTCATGTGCAACTAGATTAGGAAACTACTGCTTTGATTTGCTCTCTCATTTGAATAATCAGTAGCATAAGTAATAATTCCATTGTGGGTTCATTTCTATTAGGGACAGGGTGAAAGCAAATTCTCCCATTTACAGTATATACTGGAGATCTCCCCTTGGTTTTTCAAGATTCACAGATAAACAAGTGAAATAAGGGGCTACAGGAGTCACATGTCACTTACTTGCTGAGAGCATAATGATGAGTCTATACATAATAGGTGTTCTCTAAAGATCTGTTGCTTTTGGTGATGTTTATTGACCAACTCTAATTTAGGTATTTGAAGGGATTTTATGTCTGTTGTCCTTACCTCTAATCTTTACAAGCCATGCTCTTCACTTTCACCCCAGGTTTCTCTCTAAGACACAGCTCAGAAGTCACTCTTCAAAAGCCTTTTGTGGCAAACTTGCTGTTAGTCAGTTTTCTGTCATTGTGACAAAATATCTAAGATTATCTACTTATAAGGAAAAAAGTTCTTATTTTGGCTTACCATTTCAGTCTGTGTTTGCTTGATCCAGTTGCTTTTAGGCCTGTGGTTACACAGTACATCATGACTAGAGAGTGTGCAGAGAAGCTGTCACTATGTGGAAACCAAGAAGTAGAAAGAGAGAGACAGACAGACAGACAGACAGAGACAGACAAAGACAGGCAGACACAGAGAGAAAGAGAGGGAGGAAAAGTTCAGGGTATCAATATCTCCATTCATGGGGATACCCCAGCAACCTAACTACCTCCAGTAGGCCTCACTTCTCAGAGATTCCACTACTTCCTGATAGACCTGTAGGCTCAGGACCAAGGCCTTAACACATGGGCCTTTGAGGACACTTAATCAAACTGTAGCACTTGAATATATAGAATAAAGCCTGTACTTCTCAGCATGGCATTTATTAATTCTACAAAATAAGCATTAACTCTATTTTGCAGATAAACTGTGACTCAGAAAGGAAAAACAAACTGCTTATGGTCACATATATAAGCACACAATGGTAGAACCTAGTTAGATCCTAGGTTTCCTGATGCCAGTGCTCTAGCCACTATACAGCACTCATACTTTTTAAAAAGGGTAGAAATGGTAGGTACTGCATGTGTTGCTAGAATGATGGGATGATGGTTGCATAATCTTGTTTCCTGGGTCACGCACATACTTTGAAACTCAGAAAAATGAGCAAAAATACCTGTAGACTTCTTACTAGCCTTGTAGAATTAACTGTCTTAACCTCTTGCATGTCTGTTTCCTCATTTATAAAATAGGAACAAGTCATTTTGACCCAATGTTATAATGAAAATTATATAGATTATATATATAGAAGATTCACCATACTGCTGTGCTCACAGGCCGTTCTCAGTGGGTGTCATCGGCAACTGTTGTCCCTATTTCAGTGATCTCCAAACCCATTTAAACGATAGGGAAGTAGAAACTACACAGTAAAAATTCAGAAGAGATTCAGAATTCCATGGTTTATTCTTCTAGTGTTGAAAATAACACTTTTTAGGGTCTCAATTAGGTTCCCTACAAGTGGATACTATGGTTAGTACTCCTTTAGGGCAACAATCAGCCAAATATGTGGTGAGATTCCTGGGTAAAAAACCAAACCTTAGGCCCCAGTGCCCATTATGTCCACGATTTTTTTGTCATTCCACATGGCTGAAACAGTGTGGATATTTTTTAAAATGCAAATGTTCCCTTGGAGAGGCAGCATGCATATGAACTTTTTGTACTGATTAGCTTTCTCTTCCCTCTTTCTATGAGTGGAGTCCTTCTATGTCTCTGTGCTTTGAGCTCAGAGAATGCTCCCAAGCAAGGAACTCTTCCTACCCAACCTGTTAGAATCCTTCCCATTATTCCAGGCCCAACTTGGATATCACCTCCTCCAGAAACCTATTATTGGATATCTCAGCCAGATCTTGCCTTTTCTTCTCTGTCTCCTTCCTCTAGCATTAAGTTCTAGGCTCATATGGTGAAGACAGGGAGGACCATGAGGTCTTTGTTGTATGGAGTACCTTGAATTCTAGTTTGTCTTTGAAGTCAAAGCCCAAGATCTTGGACTAATAAATGCCTTGACCTCAGTTTTGCTTGAATTTTGTGTCTGCAAAAAGCTGGCAGTAACACTTAGCTGGGAGCAATAAGGAATATGCCTTATGCATTTGCACAATGCCTGCTCTGCTGACTGGCATCATCCATTGACCTATGAATTTAGCTGATTTAAACCCTTCAGGATGCCTTTACTGTATTCTCACCCTCAGCTTCTTGAGCCTTCAGGTGTTTAATGACTGTTCATTGGCTTTGAAAGAGGCCAGGTAACCCTGAGAGGCATTTCCACTGGGCATGTAGTCTTTCACCTAGCAGGAAGATAGGTGCCTTCTTGACATGGGGAGGGGATGAGGAGAGCTGAGTAACAGTAACAACACTGTGGCCTCATGTTTAGTGCATTAAACGTGCAGCTCCTTAAAGGAAGCCGAGCTTTCCGTAGTTGTCCTACGATGAGGGCAGAAGGTGGGCACACCAGGCACTCAGTTGGGGAGCCCTGCTGCCTGCAGGACAGAGTCCTCATCCTACTCTCCTTTTGACAGTCTTTCTGGGGGAAAAACTCTCCCGTACCCTAGATGTAGGAACTGGGTGTGGGACATTTATTTGGTGGGGCTCCCACATCTCTGTACTTGAGGAGGTGAGAGGAAGGGAACACTGTGGGTGGTGGGAAGACATCCTTCCACTTAAGGCTCCCTGGAGTTTCCAGCACCCGAGGGCCCAGCTTAGCCAGGATGTCGGGGGCGGGGCAGCATTTGCCCAACCTGCCAGCTTGACCCGACCCGTTTCACTCTCCCTAGTCAGTGACAGAGCCAAGAAAGGCCAGGACTGTGCTCTGGCTCCCGCCCCAGCCTGGCCCCTCGGGTGCCATTTCTGGCCCGGCCCCTCGCCCAGACTCTGCCCACCGGCCGGGCCCAGACCCAGCCCTCTGCCGCTGCTTTGGGCTTCAGGTTGGCGCAAACAAAGCCCTGATTGACTGCCCGGAGGGGCGGGCCTCCCTGAGAAGTAGCCTCCTCCCCTCCCCGCCCCGCCAGGATTTGCCGGGAAGGGCGGGGGTTGGGGGAGACTGGAGGGTGAGCAGGTCAGTGAGGGCCCCAGCCAGGGGCTCCAGAGGATTGTGCCCACCCTCTGTCCGAAACCTTGGCTGTCCTGTCCAGGTCACCCCCCTCAAGCCTAAGTGATTAGGCTTGATAGGGTTTCCTGAAGGCAGGGTGGGGTCCTTCATTGGGTTGCTCTTCTCTTGAGGTCCCTAGGGCCACCTCGGTCGCAGGCTGCTTGTGAGAAAGAAGAGAGTGGGAGCGAAAACAAGCAGGGTGTAATTTGGAGACTCAGGATTGATCAATGCCGGTTCTAAAGCCTGTGCAGAGGAGAGGGCAGGACAACAGGACAGTCTGTGCTCCTTTTTTCTATTTTAATTCTTCCTGTACTGGGCATCTGGACAATAGGATTGAGCATTTGGGAAGAGTTTAGAGGAGGAAGCGGCTGCTGGAGTAGATAGACGAGTAAGAGAAGGAGGAAGGGCCAGGGAGAAGAGCGGAGGCTGTAGCGGCTGCTTGTGGAGGGAGGAAGAGGTGGGGGGAGGAGGAGGGGGAGGAGAGAGATGACATGGGGAGAGGAGGGGGGGGTTGAAAACGGGTGGTGAAGGAGGAGAAGGCTCGTGGGACCGTCTGTCTCGGGACGGGCTGGCCAACTGGGGCGCGGAACCCAGAAAAGAAGGCAGCGGCAGCGGCAGCAGCAGTGGCAGCGGCAGCGGCGGCGGCAGCGGCAGCGGCAGCAGCAGCTACGTTCAGAGCAGTAGCAGCAGGAGCAGAAACAAGTACCAGCCAAACAGCGGCTCCTCTCGCCCAAGCAGCCACAGTCCCCGGCCGCGATGGCGCTGCAAAGCTCAGCGAGCAAGGAAGCCAAGGGGCCCTGGCAGAAGGCAGACCATGAGCAAGAAAAGCCGGAGGGTAGTCAAGAGTCAGGGCCCGAGCTTGAGCCTCAGCCTGAACCAGTGCCTGTGCCAGTGCCCCCATCAGAGCCCCAGCCCCTACGGGACCCCGCACCTCTGCGGGAGCTAGAGTTTGAGCCAGAGTCGGTGCATGAACCCGATCCCACGCCCACAGTAGAGACCCGTGGCACGATGCGTGGCTTCGAGCCTCCCGAAGGTGGCTTCGGTTGGATGGTCGTGTTTGCAGCCACCTGGTGCAACGGCTCCATCTTCGGTATCCATAACTCTGTTGGGATCCTCTACTCCATGCTGCTAGAAGAAGAAAAAGAGAAAAATCGCCAAGTGGAGTTCCAAGCAGGTGAGTGGCCCCAGGCACCCCACTTTGCATTCTGGGCAAGGTTGCCTGCTTTTACTGCTGCCCTCATACCTTCTGGTCCTAAGTGCCTCACTAGAGCGCCCCTGCTACTCTTTCCCTTGCTCTCTGTCCATGGCCTTTCTAGGGCTCAGGTTGCTGGGCTCTGGGCAGCCTGTGCTGTAAAGACTAAGACCAAGATGTCCTGGGAGTGGGAACCAGGACATGTATTGATCACAAGAAAGCAGTGAACTTTTTTTTTGCTCTGAGAGAAAGCCAGACTCAGCTTTTGGATTTGTTTAAAGTACTTTGCTTGTATGTGTATGGAGAAAAATATTTGCACAATTGGAGGGGTTAATGACTAGAGAGAGTTGGGAGGTGGGCGGGCTCAGAGAGAAACACTGTACTGCGGATCTTCGCGCAGCTCCAGTTCCTCTGGTGGAGAGGAGGTGTTTTCTGTCAAAAACACATTAGAAATATGGGGGATTCTTTTCTCAGACTGAAATACAAGAGAGGCATGCATGTCTGCAAGAGTGAGAGTGTGTGAGTTGGGGTGTGAGCCTGTCTCTTTCACTGCAGTCGTTAAGGCCCAGCCGGGCCTGCCTGTCCTCTGTTGCCTTGGGGGAATGAGTAGATCTTGGTGCCCTCTGAGCTGAGCCCCAAAGCCGGCTGGGAGGCGGTCTCGAGGTCTCCTGCCAAGGGGGCGGAGGCGGCAGGCAGACTGGGCTCAGCAGCTCCCTCAGCGCCACCCCCAATCTAAGCAGTGGCCTCCCAGGCACCGGTGCCTCTATGTTTCCGATGCAGTCTGAATGCCCGCCTCGCCACTCCCACCTTGGCTTGGGACTGACCTGATCTACTTTGCTAAAACTAGCAAGATTGGGGGCATAGATTTCACTCTCCAGGTCAGTGGCTGTAAGACCCCGAGCATGCACACTCCTCGCATTCAGAGGGCCTGTGAGCTAAGCCATCTGGCTTTTCCAGAGAAGTCCCTTAGCAATTCTAGTGAGAGGTCTGGTGACCAAGTTGAGAAATTACGATTCTGTGTCTAGCTTCCACTGTGGCTCCTCAGGATGACTCTACCACTCCACTGTCCCAAGCTTGAAAACTTGGCTCTTCTCTGTAGTGCCTTTGAGCTGAGGGTTTCTTTCCTCTTGCCAAACTTCAACACTTTATGTCTGCATCTGAGGGGACTTGGAAGTTAAGTGAACATAGAATCCTTGAATTGTGAGGCATGCATCTGTAGATTCTTTCTGGAGAGCCTCTTGCACTGTTCTCAACCATGGACATGTATTTTTGGTTCGCAACTTCCCTGTATTATCCTGCTAAAAGGGGATTTGGGGCTCTTGGGCCCATTGGCATAGTCATGTTATGCAGGTCTCACTTGAAGGGAGTTCTAGGGTGCAATGACTGTCAAGGCAACCTCACAACTACCCAGGGCTCCTGAGAAGTGGAGAGCTCCCTGGACTGTGTAGAACAGCTTCTGGGGTGAAGATTGCTGCCATACTCATCTCTGGGACCACCTTTTCCCTACTTTGATGCAGTTCAGGGGCCTGGGGAAGACAGCTAAAGTAGGGACTCAGACTGCAGTCTGGGTTACTAATTGGAGACATAGGATACCTGCTGAGCCTTGCTCTGTGGTTGAAAGGAAGCTGTTAGCATTTGGAGTCAGTGGTAAATCTGGGTGTAACTTGAATGTAAGAAATGGAGGCTGGGCTGAAGCTATGCCCCCTGGTGTTTATGTGTTTCCAGCAGGCCTAGAGCTGTGGCCTTATAGTGTGTGTAATAAAACTTGGAAATACCACTATTTTACCAGGAAGGGATTTACTGCTGAGGAACAGACTTCAAAGTGGGTGATCATAGGGGACTCAAGGGGTGGGCTGACTAAGACTTTCCGGTCAAGACCTCACAGTGCAGCTGGAAGAGAGCAGTGGTCTATGCAATGGTGTGGCTAGTATGTACTCTGACACAGACCAAGTTCACTGAATAGTTGAGATTATTGGCTTATATTATGGAGAATATAGGTCAGGAAGAAACAGAAAGAATTTTGTATATGTCCCCAGGGTCTCAGAATACTTTGGCTTGGGCCCTTACTGTGGCATATCTTGACTTCACTAAAGTTAATTTTGATACTGGAGTTTCTCAAGAATGCCTTAGTTTTTTATTTTGGAAAAGTCAGTAACATCTTACCATATTCTGGAATTCCCAGAAAATCTCATGCTCAGTACTACCTTTCTTGAGTCACTCAGCTTTCCCAAGTCACCTTTTAGATCATGAGATTCCAAATGTTTCTGCCTACCCACGCTGCAGTTTACTCAATTTTGTGGAAAATTTAGGCCTAGTATGGTTTCTTAGAATGACAGTGAAGCCTTTTAGATGAAAGACAAGAAAAGTGGTATTGGTTGCAAGCCCCCAGATCTATACTAAAATCCTAAATGGGGGATAGTATTAGGGTTGGGGGCTCAGGAGATAAGGCAGAACAGGAAACAGTTAACATTGGGTCCAAACTGAAGTCTTTGAAAGTACTCCAGAGTAAACCCATGATCCTACATTTTCCAGCTCAACTACCAGTCTAACACTGAACCATAAAATATGATGAGAGGCATTTTTCATTGTTCATTTTATAAGCACGACCTTTGCAAGCTCCAGAGGGAAGATAAGAGTAGTATAGTCCTTACCAGCAAGTGGGATAATGGTAGGGGAGGTTCACTACTAGCATAGGATTATTCAGGCTAATGGAACACTCTGTTGGAGACAGAGTTTTCTAGGCATGAGGAAAAATGGTCCACTCTACTTTGGGTGCAATAAAAGTTCCAAGGATGGGTGGAGCAGAAGAAAAGTAGGTTATTTTTTCCTCCCCATCTTTGTTTCAATGTGTCTCTGGATTTACCATTAAATTGCTGGCTCAGGGATTAAGGTATCTTTTGAGCAAAGCTGTCAATCTCCTGACTAACTGAAGGCTTTTGTCTGTTATCTAGCATAGCTAGATCATGTTGGCTTACAATTTAATGTAAAGTTTCAGGCCACAGGATCATTGGCTAGATAACTTTCAAGTCATTCCCCTGCTTTCTCCTCAATCAAACCTGGCCCCAAACTGTGACTTTGATTCATGCTGGAAGGGTGAAAATGAGATATTAGGACAGGAAGATGCTTTTTTGAACTTGGGTAGCTGTTAAAGCTGAAATCCTAGCTCACTCTCCAGTGGCCTCAAATGTCCATTTAATCAAAAAATGCCAGATTTGAACCCCCAAGTTGGTGATCTTAGTGATACCAGCTAGGCAGTGCCTAAGAGTTAGAAAACTTGTGGCACTAACTTGTTCTGTGACTGAGCAGACATTTCACTTCTTGATCCCTCAGTTTATCTGTAGGATGAGAGGGTTTGACTATGTGAAATTTCTTGCTCTGCCATTTTCTTTCCAGAATTGTGTGATGTCTTATTCTTTACTATCATCCTAGTGGAAGTTTTGACTCATTCTGACAAATGAAACTTTGTAGAGTTGGCTGGGGATTTGGCCGAGCGGCTTAAGTGTCTGCCTGGCAAATGTGAGGACCTGAGTTCAATCTCTGGTACAGAAAAAAATTGTAGCTGGGGATTTAGCTCAGTGGCATAAGTCTCTGCCTAGCACTGCTGGCAAGCCTGCAGTCGTGAGTTCGATCCTCAGTACCTCCCCCAAAAATGTAAAGTTGCTTGAATGGGAGTGTGGAAGAGTTAGAAAATTAAGAAGGTAAATTAGGAAAGTCCTACAGATACCTATTTCCTCCTGTTCATTTGTATCTAAAGACAATGGGACTGTACACAAATATATAGTTAAAAAACTCAAAAGATTTTACCCAGTATATAAAGACAACTCTGACAATACAGTCACTTCTCTTACAGAGAGCTGGACCTCTTAAGAGAACACCCGCAACTTAGCTTGCTGCAACCTAGTAGAGTGGGTCTATATACTGCTGTTTCTTAGTACTTGAATCTGATCCTCAACAGCATTAAGCAAGTGTTTACTCAGGCCTAGGTTTGGACTCTTCTCCTGAAATTTAATTTCCTACAGCTTGTTCTCATTTCTCAGAAGTGGATGGTCAGTACAGCCTTGGCTTGGTTTACTTCAGGCTACAAAGTAAACCAAGATTACTAAATGTGATACAAAGGTTCCCTTTAGGGGACTTAAAGCAGGACAATTTTATAGATAACTCAGGGCTGCTGCTTGAATTGCACTGTGGTAGGAGTGAGAAGGACTGTTGCTCATGATCTTGGAGAAGGACCTGTTGGATGTCCATAGTCTCTGATCAACTTCAGCTTCACTTAAGGCTTAGTTGCGAGTACACTAATTAAATATCAGACATAAAGCTCTCTCTCCTTTTCTTTGGATGTATACTTTGTCATTGGCAAGATTTACTTTAGTTTCCCGAAGAATAAACAGCTGATCATGGATCAATATTTCCATAAATACATAAATGATGTCATTTCAACCTTTGAGCACACCAATTTCCCAGGAGACTGCAGATATTTTTCTGTCAGTATCTTTCTGTTTTGTTGCATTTTGAAAAAACAGAATTATTAGCTCTTTTCAGATTGTGTAAATAATAAAATAACATTTCCTATCTTGAAAGAAACTGTCTCACCTGGAATTCAATGAATAAATCCTAGAGAAAAGGCTTTATTAAGACATATAGACACACAGATACACACACACACACACACACACACACACACACACACACACACACGCACACATACTTTTCCTAAAACCATAGGTTGTGAATATTCTATCTGAAAGAAGTCTCTTCCCATCTGACTATGGAGTCAGGCTTAAAGTAGCAGAGGCCTGTATATCTGTGTGTACAAGTGAGCATGTGATGTCTGCCTGGATCAATTAGCACAGCTGCTTAGAACGTGATGCCTAGGAGACTGAGGTTACTTGTTCAATCACTTGTTCAGGTCACTGAGCTTCTCACAAACAAAAGAACTCTTTTTCTATTCAGGGCCCATGCTCCTTGTGTGTGTGGTTGTCACT